CTATAAAACTTATTATTAATTCCCATATCCACTTTTCCTTAAACTTTTATTTCTTTTCCCGTATCCACACTTTTCAAAAACTTATTATCTCTTTCCATATATCCTTTTTCTCCAAATCCTATTATCTTTTCCATATTCACTTTTTCTCACCTTTATTATCTTTTTCAATCTCTATTTTTCTTTCTTTGTGAACAGGTGTCTGGTATTATAGGTCTGAAACGACTGGGCCTTTATTACCCGACATACAAGGAGGGAGGCTCTCGATCGAGCCCTGCATCAGGGGACCTCAGGGGCCTCACCCTGAGGGGCGGCTGCGGGTCTCCTAACCTCCCGGTAGGGGGAGGGGGGGGGAAACACTATGTCAACCTTAAACCCCGCCCATCCTTCGGGCATTATGCGCCTACACCTACTGGGCCATGACTATCCATCACTAAGGGAGGGAGACTCTCGGTCGAGCCATGCATCAGGGGACCTCAAGGGCCTCACCCTGAGGGGGTTGCACTATGTCAACCTTCAACCCCACCCATCCCTTGGCCATTATGCGCCTACACCTACTGGGCCACAAATATCCATACATAAAAAAGGGGGGGGCGGGAAAGGGGGAGGGGAAGGGAGCCTCTCGGTCGTGCCATGTATCAGGGGGCCTCTTATTTTGTAACATCTTTATTCTTTTATTTCTTGGTCACAATTTCAATATCTTATTATTTTTCCATGTCCACTTTTCCTCAAAACTTATTATCTTTTTTCCATATTCACTTTTCCAGGAACTTATTATCTCTTTCCATATCTATTTTTTCAAACTCTTAATATCGTTTCCCATATCCACTTTTTCTCATAGACCTATCACTTTTTCAAATCCACTTTTCCTCAGAATCATATTAAAAAAGGTCTGGAAACGACTGGGCCTTTATCACCTGACATAAAAAGGAGGGAGGCTCTCGGTCGAGCCCTGCATCAGGGGACCTCAGGGGCCTCGCCCTGAGGGGGGCTGCGGGTCTCTTAACCTCCCGGTAGGGGAGGGGGGGGAAACACTATGTCAACCTTGAACCCCGCCCATCCTTCGGGCATTGTGCGCCTATACCAACTGGGCCATGACTATTCATCATAAAGGGCGGGAGGCTCTCGGTCGAGCCATACATCAGGGGACCTCAAGGGCCTCACCCTGAGGGGCGGTTGCACTTTGTCAACCCTTAACCCCACCCATCCCTCGGCCATTATGCGCCTAAATCCACTGGGCCACGACTATTCAAACAAAAGGGGGGGGGAAGGGAAGGGGGGGGGGGCTCGGTCGAGCCGTGCCTCAGGGGGCCTCTATTTTGTAACACTTTTATTCTGTTATTTCTTATTTACTTCATTTCCAAATCTTATTTATCTTTTCCTATATCCACTTTTTCTCAGAACTTATTATCTTTTCATATCTACTTTTTCCAAAAACTAATTTACTTTTATCATTTATCCACTGTCTTCTGATTTCTTATTTTATATTTGTTATCCTTATCTTTCTCTTATATACTTGTAT